TAATTTTTGTGCAGTCCCTGCAGTTAACACTACAATGTGGATGTGTGGAGAGGACATACAATCTAAGTATTATTCTGTCAAAATCAGTACAAACTGAAACCGGTGGCTATATACGGCCCATAACCAATATTTTTCATTCCTCTGCCTTACAGCATTGATCCACGGATATTTTTCCACTCGCTACTATTGTTAGTACTCGTTCTGATACAGTAGCATGAGTTTAATGTCAGATAAAAGCCCGTCTCTGTTTACAGTCTGCATCTGCGGGGCTCAGAGTCGCTCTCAGGCTCAGGTGTGAAAGGGCAGCTTTCAGCAGCCGGTGAAATACACACCATTTTACAGAAGCTAAGGTCTTTTCAAACCACAGGTGACTGATTTTGTGTGTGAACGAGAGGGAGGATGGGCCATCCTTTTACCCAGACAGATATAGAGAAAGCCGTTGAAAGGTGATCTCTCCATTCCACCATCCTCTCTGCAGCTCTTCGGAGGTATTGACCCACAGGCAGGGGGGATTTTCTGAGTTTTTTCTCCCCAGGGGCGTGCACTGTTTCCAGCCTGGCTGTCAGCCATTCTCCCTTGGAGCCGCCTGAGCTCCTTAACCTCCCTCTGCTGTCTGACCTGTATGTGTGTATACAGGTTCTCTCAGACTGTAGTTTATAAGGATGATTGCAGGGTTGTCACTCGAGACAGGTGTGTGTATATTTGTGTGTGTGAGGAATACCTATCAGGGTTTATTGATGGTGACCTGGTGTGACAGAGGGCAAGAGTTGCACTGTATGTGAGTATGTGAGTGTGGCTGACAGGCATCAGCATTGATCTATCAGGACACAGTCATTTATCACAGGATGTACACGTAAATGTTTGATGGCGCAGGCAGGGATGTAGTTTATGACCTAAGGGCAGAGATTCCCTCAGGAACCAGTATCCTCCATCATGTCAGTTAGTCAATGCAACTAACCCCGCCCCCTCCAACAATTTCCAAACAACGCAAACTGAGAACAACATAAAGAAAAGGCTCTTAGTGGTAGTGTGGCATCATGGATCATAAGGTGGCCATGATTGAAAAATGTAAACATCTTTATCTCTATACCTTTCAAACAAATAAAACGCAATTCAAAGAGCTTTACAAGCAATTGACAAAAAAGAGAGCCAACAACAAAAAGAAAAAGTTAATTAAATAAGACAACAATAAAAGATAGAAAAAGCAATTCAAACCTGTGTATCAGACGTTTCATCTCACGACCCCTCAGATTAATCTTTGGACCCTTTGGAGTGGCCCGGGCCCCTAGGTTTTGAAACACACGACTAAATGATCTAACTGCATCTAAGGTAGTTAAAACTTTTTGACTTGTAACATATTTCAGGCTGTGTGTCAGGTGGCAGCACAGGTTAAAAGGCCATGGAACTGATGACTGAGACAGAATCAATGACTGGCAGCTTAATAATGATTGATGGACTTAATTATCTTTGTGGTGACAATACTCGTATCCAGCTGTATAGCCTTGAGGCATTACCTTTTACTGAAGTTTGTCATTAATGTTAGTGTCTTGGGTTACTGGAAATGGGCTGTGATGTAGTATTTCCACCACATTATGGAGCTCAAATGTGGATTTATTTCTGATTTCAGTGTTCTTTCATATGTAAGACTTTCCAAAGTAGGTTTAACACACCCCACCATGACAAATTCTCTGACTGATGTGATTTTAAGACATGAAAAAGACATTAAGATGAATGCAAGGCAATATAAAAAGAAATGTGATTAAAAATAAGTAAATAAATAAGCTGAAATTAAAAAACCTTTGACATTTTACATTTACAACATAATGAACATAATGAACCGCAGAAATATTATTATGATAGGAGAAATGTCTTTTTTTTCGACTATGCAGTGATAAATGGATGAGCAGATGCTTTGGGGAAGTGTTGGCTGTATTTTGGTTCTATTCTGATATTTTTAAGCATTCAGTTTATTGTATTAATTAAACATTGGATGCCAATAGAACTAAAAATAATGAACACTGTAAGCTCAAGTGTACAGGTTAAACACAGTGATTATGACCCCAAATCCATCTTGTAATTTTTTTGTCTCACTCTTGACTTTTGACAGTACCATCATACTTTCTTTACTTATGTGTTTACACAAATCAACTCTGGATGTGTCCGTGCATGCTGCTCCCTCATTAAGTGAGTCAATAGCTCAATAGCTGTTGCTGCGGTATGTGACCTTGCTTAATGTCCTGTTCTGTTAATTGTTTTTTACATCTGTCCCTTTTTTCATTAACCTCTTACAACTGTTGCCTAATTTACAAAAGCATCTGTGTGTGTTATTGAAACATAAAACTGAATGTAAATGTGTGTGTGTGTGTGTGTGTGTTTCACAGATGAGACGTGTGTGGCCAATGTGTGGGACTCCAAGAATCGTGGTGTGAACGGCACCCAGAGGGGACAGATCGTGTGGAGACTGGAGCCGGAACCCTACTTCATGGAGCGTGAGTGGACTTTATTACATTTATGTGTTGCTAAAGGGGCTTTTCAACGATTTTTACAGCTGTCAAGTCTGAAAAAAATAACCCTGATGATCATTTGTGTCTGTGTTCTCCCCACAGCGGAGACTAAGGTCTGCTTTAAATACTATCATGGTGTAAGTGGAGCTTTAAGAGCAACGACCCCTTGTATCACCGTTAAGAACCCTGGAGTACTGGTATGTCCCATCTACATCTGCGTCATTCCTCCAACTTGAGTCTTTTACCATCTTATTTTCTACTCCTTTTCTGTATATTGGATTTTCTCTCATATTAAACAATCCCTTAATCCTGCCGTCTGATTGGGGGCTAGAAGTGAAAGCATTTTCTAAACTTTCTTATGTTAGGGAACGAGTCCTATCTGTGCTGATGTTTAGAGCAGCTGCAGAGGAGTCCTAACCTGCAGAATATGGTGTTGTAACCAAGAAAATGCAGATTGATCAGAGCCAACAATTTAAGCAGTCATAAATCATATATTTAGATAATGCTTTTCTTTTCTCAAGTCACTGCAGCTTAGTCAGCTGCCCCTTAGCCCCCAGAATTTGTTGGTGGAGCTCATCTCGACAGAATCTGGAAAGAAATTTGGGGATGCAGTCAGAGTCAGCAGAGGGAGATGAATGGAGAGAGGTGGATGTCAGCAGGGCAAACTGAGGCGAAGAGACGTTTGCTCCAGTTGAGTCAGTAACATTTAAAGCAGTCAGCTTGAATCAGAACTCTCAGACCATTATTCCTTTGATGATTCCTCCTTTTAACTTTTCATCAAACTCATGTTTTTGGGGTTTTTTTTGCTCTGGGAGTGAAGCCAGTTCACTCTAAAAATGGGAATGGTACGTGATCCACTCACACTGCTCTCCTATTGGTTGTTTCTCACCAGGTGGGCACTGAAGGCCAAGTGGAGGACCAATCAGGGACTGAGCACTGTCGGAAACTAGTCAGCTTCACCCTGTCAGGTGAGAAGAATGATTCAGTGACATTTTGTTGTAGTCGTCATTAAGTGAAAAAAAAACACATGCTGATGACTGGATGTTTTCCGCTTTAGACATCCAGGCAGCAGGCCTGAAGAAGGGCATGTTTTTCAACCCTGACCCCTACCTGAAGATGTCCATCCAGCCCGGAAAGAGGAGCGGCCTCCCCAAGTTCACCCACCACGGCCAGGAGAGGCGCTCCTCCATCATAGCCAACACCACCAACCCTGTGTGGCACGGGGAGGTCAGCACAAACAGACACACACACTTGTGGCATCCACAGAGGAATTACATAAGTGTTAATGCACGATGTGGTGTCCATTATTAATAAGTCCATTATTTTTTATAACAGATAAGATAATATATCAGAGTTGATTATTACAATTACATTACAATTTCTCAAGAGCATAGCATGGAATTTCATGTATTTCTTAATACATAATGTAAATAAAAAGATTGTAAATATACCAAAAGTCCAGGTAAAATGTGAAAATAAAACTACTTCTTACTATTGATCATCCTGTAGAAATACACCTTTGTGGCTCTGATGACTGACGTGTTGGAGATCGAGGTGAAGGATAAGTTTGCCAAGAGCCGGCCTATCATCAAGCGGTTTCTGGGTCAGCTGGTCATGCCTGTTCAGAGACTCCTGGAGGGGCCGACAGCTGAGTGAGTCCACACGCACCGTGCTTGTGTGTATTCAGTTTGGGTACACAGCTAGAGGTTTTTAAATAGACTGACCATGGTGTGTGTGTGTGTTTGTACCTCCTGCTTCTGCACCCAGACAGAGAGAACGTCTGCACACACATCTGACCTTCAGCACTTAACCGCAGTGACTTAACATAGTTCAGTCAATACCAATCGATATGTCCCAATCCTCTCATTGTTCAGGCATTGATTTAGTACTGATCTACAACTGAGGACAGCATGTACTCCAGTGAACCATGATGTATAGTGTGTGTGCACAGGGTTTCTCACCGCTTGAGTGTTTATGTTGGCCAGAGGAAATGTATATTTATATTGTGCATAATGTAAGATTGTATACCCATATCTGCTTGCAGCGATCAGCCAGTCAGCTACAGCCTGTGTCGTCGTCTCCCTACGGACCATGTGAGCGGGCAGCTTCTGTTCAGAGTGGATATCACCTCCACTGGACAAGAAGGTGTGTGTGTGTAGATTATACTCACTTTAATTAGTGCTAGAATGTTTCATGTGATCAAAAAAAGTTTCTTATTAAGATGTGATTAAGAGTGTCACATTCATGTAATATCATACAATATTGTATTTATGGTCTCATAATGTCATGTCATGTCTACAAATCAATTCTACAAATGTAATTGATCTGGTGTGAGGCGAGCGGTAGAGTTAAACACCTCCAAGTACACGATTTTCCCTCTCTTACATAACACTAACACACCTATGAATACCTACGAACATACAGGATATATATATTAAATTCAAAAAATATATATAAAACATGTCGTCATACCAGACTGACCATCAGTCAGTATAAATTGCTATTGATTATTAATTTCTATGTGAGGATAAAGAACAGGCCAGGGAGTTTATTTTGAGATATAATTTTCAAAGAGGAATTTTAGAATGTTTAACATGCATTAAAATCCACACGTGGGATATTATAGCATTTTCACCAGTTATTAATGCGTACTTTCATTTAGCTTGTATGATGTTTAATGCTTCCGTTCTGAATGTCAGATGAATATTCCCATATTTCCCCTAAACTATTTGCTTGGTTTATTTTCCAATCTCCATCTTCTATCCCTCCTCCTCGTGCGTCCCCTCTTTCTGTCAGAAGCTTCCCCAGACGCCGTGGGAACTATCTTGGGTGGGGCAGTGAACGGGGACCCCGGCAGTCCCTCCGACGACGAAGACCTACCTCACCCGCCCTCATCCTCGCGCGTTACATGTGGACCCTCTCCCACGGGCTCTGACGAGGGCTCCCCAATAGTCAACGGTGCTTGTTACTATGGTGACGACAGCGTGTGGCAGGAGCCTGGGCAGATGGGAGAGGAGGATCTGCTTCCTGTGGCTTTGGGCGGCCACACCCACCGGCAGGTGTCACTCAATGACTATCTGGATGCCATCGAGGCACCCAGGAGCCCTGGGGACCGGCCTCTGGCAGGACCTTCACCAAAACTTCGTTCTAGCTTTCCAACAGACACACGGCTAAATGCCATGCTACACATAGACTCAGATGAGGATGAGGAGACGGCGGGGCAGCACAGGGAGCAATCACAGGAGGTGAGGACACCGCAGAGCACGGACTTAGCCTCATCAAGGAGTTCGTCTACATCTGAATCTCAACCGGGGAATGAGGGATCAAAGGCAGAGCATCAGGGGCAGACTGGAGCTGGGGCTGGGGCCGCAACAGAGGCAGGTTCCTCTGCTAGTTCTCAGTCAGAGACTGAGCCTGCAGGGGCTGAACCTGGAGCTGCAGAAGGTGCAGCTGGAGTCCAAGCGCAGGTGGGAACATCAACCACCACTGGGACCGGAGAGGTCGCTGGAGTGACATCTGAGGCTGCACACGTTACAGGAGAAACCTCTCAGGCAGCAGGGGCTGAGGCAGCTGCAGCAGGACCCGGGCCGGGGGAGTCTGTAGGGGAATGTACCTGTCAGGAGCAGAGCAGCAGGACGGATGCAAACCAGGAAGTTCCTTGCAATTCCTCACTTGGTCCACTTTCACCCATTCAGGTGAGCAGCAGTAGTTCAGGCGACTGAAAAACTACTTACTTAGGAAGAGCTTTTTTTCAAAATGCCCTGTTCTCTCCTCAGGAGGTGGAGACAAGAAAAGAAGTGGCTCCGAAGGCGGAGGAGGAAGGAGGGGAGTCATCGAGCAGCGAGGCGAACGGGCCAGTAGCAGCAGCTGCTCCGACCAGCAGCAACTTAGCTGACAGAGGAAGAGGGGCTTCTGCAGTTGGTAGGTGGTAAATGCTTTTGTTTAAAATGATTTGGTGCTGTTTTTCAGGTACAAAACAGTTAAAGGACCCAACTGGAATTTTTGTTGCAGGTAAAATGGAAGACAAGTTGCGCCGCTGAAAATTGAGCTCCATTACTTTAGTCTTATTTAGTGTCACTTTATGCAAATCAGAGGAAACTGCAGCTGGGTTCATTCAAATCTAAAGTCCTTGTAAATAACCTCCTAAAGACACACTGCGGTGTCACAAAGTTGTGTTCCTCAGATGGTTATTTGCAGCAGCCTCAGTAATTATCCCTCAGAGACCTACAAGCTGTTACTCCCAATGCTTTAAATGGTGAATTTATTTAAAGCTTGTAACAGGATCTTAAAGTAAAGTGTTTCACCTTTTATATGAATATTACTCATTAAACTTGAAACATGTTCTCTGTCTTTAGTGTCTCATTCTGCACACTTAATTTCTGCCTCCTTGTTGGTTTACACACATAAAAAAAAAGTCTTGTTTAAATTACAGGAGCGAGTGCCAGTGGTGGGGATGGGCAGGAGGAGGAGGAGGGAGGGGAGGTGTGGAGGAGGAGGCAGTCCATGCAGGCCTCTGGAGGCATGGCCCAAAACCAGGAGGTTGTCAGGGCGAGAGAGAGTCCAAGTGGGACACCGGGGGTGGAGAGAGAAACAGGTGAGATGTTTTTTTTTTTTTTTAAACATCTATTATACGAGAAGAAATTATTATTAACACTCCAGATTTGGTTACAAGGGAACACACACATTTCCACATGCCTCCTGCACAGCTTTACTCAGGTGTGACTGAGCAGTCGCTGGAGGTTAATTGTTTCGCTCGAGGTCTCCTTAATAGTTGTTATTGAGGGAATCATGGGTATGAATCATTCAATTTTCATGTCTATATCTTCCAGCCTCCTGCTGGAGCGACTGCTGCTAGTTGTCTTTAACTCGGGCTGTGTTCTCATGTAACAGGGGCATATTAACTCAGACATTTACAGGCTGCATGGGCTAAGAAGGTCGTTTTCTTAAGATTTTATATGTTGCTTTGTTTTGATCTATTTTCATTCCTTTCTTTGTTCTTGTAAGCCTCCCAAGTCTAAATAGATTTGTTAGAATTAAAACAAATTAATGCCACCACCAGTATTCATTGTATGCTGCCACAAATACAAAATAAGAGCAACATCCCCGCGCAAAATCTGCACCGGAGTCTCTCCACGTCAAGAGGATTGAGCGATCAGTGAGTATTAATAAAAGACTGGAGCATTATCCAGATCAGAACAAGTTTTCTGCGGCCGCCAAAAAGCTGCTGGATTACAGAGAGAACAGTTGTGGTTATTTAACCTTTTGACAGTATTAGATAATAGTAGGAAACAGTGCTGTGCTTGAGGGGAGAGGAACCAGCTGTACGATCTGATCTCGTACTCTAAAGGTCACGAGGTTTTGCAGCTTTTGCTGGAAATATATTCACATATAAAAAGACATTTTTGCATTTTCTTATATTTAAACTGATGCAAAAATGTTTCGCGGTTTTGATGACCTCATATGTGTGTGTGTGTGTGTGTGTGTGTGTGTGCACGTGTGTAGGTGCTACAGCTCAGGTCAATGGCCACCAGTCTGTTCGTTCCCTGCCGTCTGTCCGCCATGACATCAGTCGTTACCAGAGAGTGGACGAGCCGCTACCGCCTAGTGAGTGTCTGTGTGTGTGTGTGTGGGGCCTTTCAGACTAAAGACCAGGCAAAAGTTGTGTAGAAAAAGCGAATTTTTAGAAAAAGTGACATAAGTAAACGTGCGTGTGTGTTTGCGCGTTTTTATTACCTATTGGGGACACTGACCTTGTCGTAAGGGCTGTACGATCCAGTGACAGATATTGTAATTGCGATACAATTCACAGTAAGCACGAATAATAACTTTTGCATTAAAATCCTTAAAAACAGATTTTTTTGTGGAGAGTTGTAGAAACTGAACTAGAGTTTCTTCATCACTTTTCCTTTTTACTCTTGTTTGCTTACACTAAATAGTAGATTATGCTCCATAAGCCTCAGTCATGCCATCCAATGAGACCAAAGTTAATTATACAGCTTTTATACAGATTTGACAGTCAGAATAGACTAATTGTATTGGTCATAACTCAAAATATGAAGTATTTTGGATCACTTTCTGGTAGTATAATCAAGCTTTGTGACTGATTAAAGGGATTCCTTATTCGTCTTTTCAGTGGGTGTCATTCCTTTACGCCTTTCCTGAAATTCTCACCATTACTGACAATCCAACAGATGCCTAAAGCCAATTATACATGTCTTTATTTAGATAAAAAAACTTTGCATTTTCCTCTTCAGCATGGTCTTGCTATTGTGTGTGTGTGTGTGTTTGTATGTGAACCAGACTGGGAGGCTCGTATCGACAGCCACGGTCGGATCTTTTACGTGGACCATGTGAACAGAACGACAACTTGGCAGCGTCCCATCGCTCCCCCTGCCCAACAGACCCTCCAGAGGTCCAACTCCATACAACAGATGGAGCAGCTGAACCGCAGGTCAGGACACACAGATACTGTATGGTCAGCCTCGAACCTGAAAATACAAGCAGCAAAGTTAAAAAGTAAATAGCTAAATTTTCACACTTTTACAGGTATCAGAGTATACGTAGGACCATAACCAATGACAGCAGACCAGAGGAGCAGCCAGCCAATGAGCTGCCCCCGGACGAGACTGACATGCACCCCTCTATCCCAGGTAATCCTCTCACACTGCACTGCATACTGGTCTACGCAGTCTGTAAAGTCCTAAATCCCTGATTTGTGCACTTCTTCTGACTTTGTGTGTGTTGCAGAGCTGCGTAGGGACAATAGTGTGGCTCACTCCGGTTCCAGGTCTCGCCTCATCCTGCTGCTCCAGTCCCCCAGCGCTAAGTTCCTCACCAGCCCCGACTTCTTCACTGTGCTGCATTCCAACCCTGTACGGACACTCGTTGTCTTCTTCTCTCTCTTCTTTCTTTCAACCAAGCCATCTTTCTTTTCGCCTGCATCCTTCTCATCGATCATTCACTGCTATTTGTCCTTCTGTTGAACCTCTGTTGACCGGACACACTCATTAGGGGCTGTATAAAAAATTATTAGCTCAGAAAAGTTGATGTGTTTTTTTTTTTTCTTTGTACTGTATCGAAAGGTAGTAAAAACCTTTTGAGGGAGCTTTTTCTTTCCTGCCCCTAACTCATAAACCAAAAGGACATACCAAAGGACATACAAAATAATGGTGACGGATAGCAAATACACAGTATCACAGTGGGACAACTTCACTGAACAAAACTTGTCTTCTCTCTCTGGTTGATGTGTTTCCTCTATCCTCTCTGCTTTTTTTGCTTCTCTCTCCTCCCTCACCGTCTCTATCTCAGAGTGCCTACCGTATGTTCACCACCAACACTTGTCTGAAGCATATGATCAGTAAGGTTCGTCGGGATGCTCACCACTATGAGCGCTATCAGCACAACAGGGACCTGGTGGCCTTCCTCAACATGTTCGCCAACAAACAGCTGGAGCTGCCCAGAGGCTGGGAGATGAAGCACGACCACACCGGCAAGGTAGGACGACACCTGTATCAGTGTCTCAAAATCTCTGTTAACTCAAGGGCTTAAAGGGTTTTGAATGAAGTAGAATTTAGTGTTTTCATTCTCAACATCCAACATTTATTTCTGTTATTTATTTCTAATTTGTGGTGTTTTAAAATGTAAAAATGTAACTTGATGATGTGTTCAAATGTGGGTTCATGTCAGTGTTTAAAGAGATGAAGATGAAGATTTTTATTGTTAAAATTAAAGTATAGAATATCATTACCATGTTAATTTATCAAAGTTAGAATTTCCTGTATTGAGGATGTAAAATTACTTATTCGTCTACATAACTACATAAATAATATTTTAATGAATGAATTGAAAGTTGAACACGTTAAATAAATACATGATATAACAACAAATCTGCTTACATATCTGCATTCCTACATGATGTCATTTATTATGCTACAGTTTCGTAAAATTTACTACATTACCACAAAGACTCAAAAATGCAGGAATAGATACACGTACAGTTTAGAAATGTATAAATAAATACATTTATTATTTTATATTAAAATGTTATTTTATGCCACACAATGTTATCAAAAGTCTCACAGAAATACATATTGTTCAAATTGTCCCAAATTAATATTGTAATGATATTAAATTCAAGTTATACTATAAAAATTCTTCTTTTTTGTTCATTTTGTGGCATGAAAAGTAACACAGGACGCATTTAGAACATATGATGCATTTAATGCCACATTTAAAAATCTACGTACATACAAGCAGGATTCTGCACAACTACTTTGGAAACCAAATCTTGGCGACTTACACAAGGTGGCATCGTGTCTCTTGAGGGGATCTTTAAATATTTTTTGGCACAACTTGTCTCAGTGCATGCACACTGATGTATGATGTGTGGAGATAGTCCTGTGAAGTCCACTGTACAATTGATACGTGACTGTTTCTTGTGTGTACACATGCAGCCTTTCTTCGTGGACCATAACTGCCGGGCCACCACCTTCATCGACCCCCGGCTGCCTCTTCAGAGCACTCGGCCGCCGAGCATCCTAGCTCACCGCCAACACCTGACCCGCCAACGCAGCCACAGTGCCGGGGAGGTCAGCCCACGACGACTGGTAAGGCACACACACACACACGCACACCGACCTGGTTTTCTTATTATGGGCAAACCCCAGCAAATTGGGGTTGTTAAAATTTTAAGTCTAGTTGTGGCTGTGGTGGACTGCTTCTCTAACTTACTTCTCTCTCTCTGTAGGTGGGTGAAGACCCCCGTCATGCCGGCCCACCCGTCCTGCCGCGGCCTTCGAGCACCTTCACCTCTGCTAACCGGGGTCAGTGCCAAGACGTCGTACCAGTGGGTCAGTACATGCAGAAACACACAACCATTCAGAAATGAAATCAAATTTGACCTGAACCAATGTGTGTGTGCTCCTCTTCTAGCTTACAACGACAAGATTGTGGCGTTTCTGCGACAACCAAACATCTTTGAGATTTTGCAGGAGAGACAGCCCGACTTCAACCGCAACCATTCACTCAGGTACAATCTGTTTACACCCGTGGTACCTGGCGCAGAGTTTGGTATTTATATGTATAGCTTCCATATGAAGCAACACTCCCACCAGCCTCTATCTCAGTGTAATGTTGCTATGACAACAGGGAGAAGGTGCAGCTGATCCGCACAGATGGAGGGTCAGGATTGGCGAGGCTGTCAGGTGACGCTGACCTTGTCATGCTGCTAAGGTGAGACCTGCTTCCTTCCTTCCTTTCTTCCTTCCTTCCTTCCCTCAGTGTCTCCATCCCTCCCTGATATTTGCATCCTTATTTCATCCCTTTTTTTTTTCTTCCTCCTTCTAATTTACTTCCCTGTCTATTTCCCTTCCGTGTCTTATTGTATTAGTTGTGTATCACTATCCCTCTTTGGTTCCTTGTTTCCTCCTTAATGTATGTCCTTCCTTTCGCTCTCCTGCTTTCAACTTGAGCCCCTCTATCGAATTAATTCAGTTCATTCAATTTCTTCCTCGCTCTCTCTCCTCTCTGCAGTCTGTTTGAAGATGAAGTAATGTCCTACGTGCCTCCTCACGCCTTACTTCACCCCAGCTACTGTCAGTCACCTCGGGGATCGCCTGTCTCCTCCCCACAGAACTCACCTGGTAGGAGACTGACAGATGAGTCACACACATACATTGCAGTGTATTGAAAACTGGCATTAAGGCCAGCACCTTTCCGTTCTGTGCCTTAACGTTCAGGCGTTCAATGATGTGGCTGATATATTATTGAAATTCATAGTAATTTTACCTTTAATGCCTTAATGCCCTGAATGCTTAGTCACTGCTGATAGATGATGAATGTCTACATTTGTTTAAAGGTATTGTGGGAAAGGCAGTTCAGTTAAATACATTACAACACTTAATGACAAAATAAGCCCTGGAATTAGGTTTTCTTCCTTCTTTCTCTGTGCCTGTAGGTACGCAGAGAGCTAATGCCAGGGCCCCGGCACCCTACAAGAGAGACTTTGAGGCCAAACTCCGCAACTTTTACAGGAAACTGGAAACTAAAGGCTACGGCCAAGGACCGGGGAAGCTAAAGTAGGTGGAATATTTGTCTGAAGAGAGCACCCTTTCCTTTCCTTTCTGTTTATTTGTATATTTATTATGTATTTTGTGTGTGTGTCTGTCCACTCACTTGCCTGTGTGTGTGTGTCAGGTTGATTATCCGACGGGACCACCTGCTGGAGGATGCCTTCAACCAGATCATGTGCTACTCCCGTAAAGACCTGCAGCGCAGCAAGCTCTACGTCAGCTTTGTAGGGGAGGAGGGGTGAGTATGTGGGAGGGTGGAGAACAACAAGCATGAAACCCACAACATGTGTGTGCATATTATATCTCAATTCCTGGACAGTCTTGCTAATGTAGGTTATCTTGTTATTTTAAACCTTATTTTTAACCAGAACAGTAATATGTAATATGTTCTGTATTTGAGTACAAATTTGAGGTACTTTACTCAAGTCTTTTCATGCTACTTTCTACGTCTACTCTACCACTCATCAGAGGGAAATATTGTACTTTTTACTTTACTAACAATTATTTGACAGGTTTAGTTACCAGTTACCCAAGATTTTTACACACAAAACATAGAAAGAGCTCATAAAATAGGAGGCTTTGTTATAAATGAAAACATTTATAGTGCAGTTGAAATGATTAGTCAATTAATCAATTGAAGAAAAGAAAATTATTTGGCAACTATTTTGATGATCAATTACATACATTTTATGGTTCCAGCTTTTGAAATGTGAGGATGTACTGCTTTTCCCTTTAATTATTTGTTTGGTCTATGGGTTGGACAAAACGGTTGTGAAGGTGTCACTTTGGACTCATTGTGATGACATTTCTTACTATTTTCAAACTTTTTACAAACCAAACAATTAACAGTAAAATGCTGCTTTTACATTAATTATTAAGTATTAATAAATAAATAATAGTGATATCATATAAGTAGTATAACACTCACAGGGGACCTTTTTCTGTATTGAGTACATTTACTTTTAATACTTTAGGTATGTTTCCTGATTATACGTACATAATTACATACGTACACACTGAATACTGACCTGAATACTTCTTCCACCACTGTATAGTAGGTTAAATATGTGTGTATGTTGCAGGTTGGACTACAGCGGGCCTTCCAGAGAGTTCTTCTTCTTGGTTTCCAGGGAGCTGTTCAACCCTTATTATGGTCTGTTTGAGTACTCTGCCAACGACACCTACACCGTCCAGATCAGCCCCATGTCCGCCTTCGTAGACAATCACCACGAATGGTGAGAGACAGTGGTGAAGCTCAAATATGATCTTTAGTATCCTGATTACTTAAAAAAAAAAAAAATTGTGCGTTAATGTGTTTTTTGTAATGTGTTTTAGGTTCCGGTTCAGTGGTCGTATTCTGGGTTTGGCTCTGATCCATCAGTACTTGCTGGATGCTTTCTTCACCAGACCCTTCTATAAAGGCCTACTGCGCATGTACGTATAGCATGGACATGTATGCATAAACATTGATTCAAATTCAGGACACACACACACACACACTCACGCTCATTTCTCACCACATAGTCCCTGTGAACTGAGTGACCTGGAATATCTGGATGAGGAGTTTCACCAGTCCCTTCAGTGGATGAAGGACAATGACATAGAAGACATGCTGGACCTCACCTTCACCGTCAACGAAGAAGTCTTCGGACAGGTGAGTGTGCGTGTGTGTGTGTGTGTTTCCAAAATGTATTTTATGTGGCAAAAGCATTGAGATAGATAGAACGATCAGCAACAGTTGAATTAAGTTTTTGTTTGTGTGTTCCCATAGATAACAGAAAGGGAGCTGAAGCCCGGCGGAGCCAACATCCCTGTCTCTGAGAAGAACAAGAAGGAATACATTGAGCGGATGGTGAAGTGGAGGATAGAGAGAGGAGTGGTGCAGCAGACTGAAAGCCTGGTCCGAGGTTTCTACGAGGTATGGCTCATGGAGGTTTTCATATATTCTAAATGATTGAATTTCTCTGTCTAAATGTACTGTAGAAAAAGTGGCAGGATGATATGTTGTGTGTGTGTGTGTGTGTTTTCCAGGTGGTGGATGCCAGGCTGGTGTCAGTGTTTGATGCCAGGGAGCTGGAGCTGGTGATCGCCGGCACAGCTGAGATTGACTTATCAGACTGGAGGAACAACACAGAGTACAGAGGAGGTATGAGACCCAATCTATTTCAAACATTTACAGGTCCAGTGTGTAGGATTTAGTGGCACCTAGTGGTGAAGTTACATATCGCAATTCAGTTGCTTACAAAAATGATTCTTATTTTCAGCTGATTATACACCAATGAAAACTATTTCTGCCAATAAATGTTACACACTGTATTTTGTTTACGGTGGTTTCTACAGTAATAAGGAGGAAAAGGGGAAAGTCTTTCCTCGTGCAAAAACACTACTACTACTACATGCACACTACCACTCTGCCCAATTGGGCTGCAAATATTATACCTGTTAAACATTAGCATGTTAGCATTGTGACTTTAGCATTTAGCTCAAAAGCACCACAGAGCAACAGCAATTAAATACAAACCAAGTAAACTTATTTATGTTTCTGTTTAGCTTTGTGTTCTGCTTATCCCTAACTCTGTTTTGCACTCTTTCGTACCTCCCCCTCTTTTTTCTTGCATATTTTCCAGTGAGATAATGAGGGTTTTTTTTATGTTTTATTATGTGATTTGTGAGGATAAAAAGAGATTGTGCCTAAACCAAAACATGCATTTAAGGTATGTGAACTGTACACTCACACATTCATGCACACAGACCCACGAACCAGAGATCCATCCAGATAATTTGTCAACTAGATTACAAAAAGTTTTAACCTACTTGCTCCTGTAAATATATACGCGCATAAACCACTGTTGCCCCCATCGCACATAAGCTCACCTTATGTTTTATTTGTTTTAAAATTAAACTATAGATAAAAATATAAAGCCTATGCTTTGAGCTCTTCATGTACCTCCTTGTTTGGGATTATTTGTCTTCAACATATCAGTTTTTCCAGGTTCCAGTCTCTGCTGTGTTTTTTGCAGCTGCACTGACCTCCTTTTCCCTCTTGAGTCACGATAGTCTCATCTCTCAAACAGCTCTCGGTTCAGTTTTGACAGTAATGTTTCTGGTTCAACGGCTCAACCTAGCTTGATTCCTCTCCAGTCGGGGTCGAGGTCTTGTCATTCACCGTCGTCATGATCCTGTTGCCATAGTTACATGATATGACGTGTTGTGTTCAGGTTACCATGACAACCATATTGTGATCCGGTGGTTCTGGGCAGCCGTGGAGAGGTTCAACAATGAGCAGAGACTGCGACTCCTGCAGGTAGGCCCGGTGTGATTGAGACAGAAAGACGGTTGTTATTTACTCACCTTTTCAGATGAAGTATCAAAAGTGTCTGAGTCATCTTCTTTTTTCCATTCTCTGTCCCTCTCTCCTTCCTTACCATCCGCCTCTTCAGTTTGTGACCGGGACGTCCAGTATTCCTTACGAGGGTTTTGCTTCCCTGCGAGGCAGCAACGGACCCAGAAGATTCTGTGTGGAGAAGTGGGGGAAGGTCACCTCACTGCCCAGGTAAACAAATCTCACCATGGTTTGACCATCTGAAAATGATCAAAACAGTTTAATTAAAGAATATTTTGATTTTATTTACTTGAAACAGTCCTATTTTTTATCAAAACACGACTGTAGCATACATGTTTTCTTCTGTCTCATGCATGTTACTACAGTGATTGTGTTTTGTGTTCTTGAGTGCTGCCAAAACCTACATTCAGCAGTGCACCTGAATGCAGCTGCTACGCTGCTAACGTGCTGCTCACAAGAGAAGAAAATGTAAGCAGTGTCTAACATCACTTCCTGTGGTGTCTTTCCAGAGCTCATACTTGTTTCAACCGGCTGGACCTCCCACCGTACCCGTCCTTCTCAATGCTGTATGAGAAGATGTTGACTGCCGTGGAGGAGACCAGCACCTTTGGGCTGGAATGAGATGTTCGTCTCTCCACCCCTACCCTCTACCCTCTCAAGGACTGCAGGTGGAAGTGAAGAGAGGGAGCCATGATAGAAGCTGGATTTAAAGTCTGATTTATGGTTTGTGTTTAATTTATAATGGGCTTTTTTTTATAACAGAGGCTGATAAGACCTTTGAACCACAAAGCTGCACTCTGACCCTTTGAAATTTCCCAAGTACAGAGGTAAAACAGTTGTCTTTTTGTTGCACCTGCACGCAATTGGCACCGACTTAGTAACACACGCTTTCACCTGTGTGATCTGACAAATGAAGACCCGCACTGCCTTTGGGACCAGAATCATAACTGCCAGGGTTTGATCAATCAGAGACCGGGATGCTTTTTTTTTGTCACTTTCTCTTTGATATTACAAGGTTAAAGTTTATCATCAAAGAAGAAGCAACCACTGCCTTCTCTGCAAAAGCTGAGTGGACCTTTTATTCTAATCTGGATGGAGCTCAAAGGATTATAAGGCACGTCCAGAACTGTGAGCTTCACTGATGCCCTCGTTGAATTACAGCGTCTCCTTGTGGTCTGTTGTAATGACTGCACTCACGTAGGTTGTGCATTTGTTTCTCCAAGCCTTTCGAGGACCATCTGAGGTAACTTTTGGTAAAGTTTGTGGGGTTTTCCAGTGAACTTATACAGCTGATTTTGGAGACCCCAAACAAAAAACTTTTTGTTGTTAGTGTTTTCATCTACAAGAAGAAGTAATTTTCTAATGACATGGCAGTGAAATGTTGTGATTTGAATGTAACTTTATGATGTAGTGGGGAGTGATTTTGTACCAGATCTGGATCAATTTGCAAAAAAATATTTGGCCACCACTTACTTGAGTTAATAATGTGTTGATGAGTAAATTAAGTTACATACAGATTGTAACCATATCCATTTACTTTGATTGTATTTGATTGATTTGAAACAAGCTTTGATCCAGGTCTACTCTCTAAAAATGTGTTAAAAGTCGTCTACACTCAAGAGTTGTAGATTCAAATATCCAAGTAGACAAAGTAAAGTGTCTACACACCAGTGGTGGATCTAGAGGATTTTACATGGGGTGGCAAGAGACTGAAAATACATGCTACTTCTGCAGATTGATATATATATACTCTGACCTACAGTAGTCAGAATAATCCCTGTTTAACATTGTAGGAGTATGTAGTTAATAAGATACAATCAATGGATGAACATTTAACACTGAGTGATATTTAGACTATCCTGTCATGGATACAATATCTCCAGTATGTCTGTGTGCAGACTTGTGCACAGATAATAATGGATGTTAGAGGAAGGACACTTTTCTATTTATTTTCTAATTAAATAGAAAGAATCGATCCTCCAGCGCTGCAGTTTTAAGGCTGTAATTCCCAGCAGACCTTCATCATTATCCATTATTTAGGAATGAACTGTCAGACTCAACATATCCTAAATGTTAGAGCTTCAAACATAACACTATTTTTTAAATACTGGTCATAAACCCAAGTACTGGACAAAGTATTTACACAAAATTTCATGGCAATCCATTTAGCATGGCTAAAAATAATGGGATGTTTCGCTGCTTTGGATGTAGTGGTGACTGAAAATGACTGAAAAACTCCTCAGTAGCGTTGGTAGCTTCCCACCTCCATGCCTCCCTCCAGATCCGCCCCTGCCACCCATACCCCCCCACATCAGAACTGAAAAATTTCACCAAGCTTGAGTACAGCTGCTGGTGTCAAAGACACAGTTAGGTCATCAGATTTTACGCTTCCAAGTTCAATATATTATGTAATTATAGAAAAAGGACTTGGACCCTGAGACATTCAACATATATCAACTGGCATAAAAATGTCTTCTCAGCATACTCGCTGTTGCTCATTAGAATAATACATTTTCTTTTCATTGTTTTTTGGCTCTTTATTCACCTCACACACTATGACTAGAAGCTCTCAGAACGTTTTCTCTTTTCTTTGTTCTTTTTACACTTGTGATGTTAACCACTTGTGTGTTTATACGGCTCAATTTGATTACACGTGCTGTATGTAAACTCTGTAAAATGTCTTTTTCTGACATGAAGAGTTGAACTCTGACACCGTTGAATAGTTCCTCTAGATTTGCACTCTGTCATAATTTCAATATTGAATGAATTGTATCAGCTCAATGTTAATGTTTATGTTAATTTAATCAAGTTGTTTAGTGGAGTTTTCACAGAGCAGGCACACAGTAAACAGTAAAAACCATACAGTCCTCATAATAGAAAAGCATGAACATTTTGTATAAAATCAGTTTTGAAGGAGCTTGCAATGATATTTTCTCTTTTGTACATTGAGATACTTGTTACCGTCCTCTTCACTCACATTCCCCCCTGCACTATGAATGTAAGCACGCCTTGAACTGCCACATCGAAATACCACTGTCCACATGCAGGCCTACAACACCTAAAAGTCAACCGCTGAGTTCCTGAGCTAACACTAACCCTTCTGAACGCCTCATTTTATACTCACGGCAAAATCCAGACCATATGGAAGCCCATTTCTGCAAAGAGAAAAAATGAATACACTAAAAGTTATGTTTGTTAAAAATGGAAATGCTCATCATGGTTATCTTATGAAGTATTTTATTATCATGTCAAAGTCAAAGTCAAAAAACTGACTGTCACATGAATTTTGTTATTTCTGACTTAGTAGGTCAAACTTCAAATCAACATTTACGTGCTGTTTCATACTTTGTAGTATCTTAAATGTCTCATGTCTCTTCATATTTTTTGTTTACTTTTTATCTTTTTTTTTCCTGGCAGAAATGGGCTTCGATAAGACCAAAGGTACTGTAGACAAACTGCTACAGGCTCCTTTTTTATGCGTGTTGACGGGACAAAAAACAAACCCAAACAGCATATTTTATGCAAAGTCAGGGAGGGTACATTTGAAACTGATCATATTGTTTTCAATTTTTGGACCAGATTTTGATAAAGCCCTGGACCTACGGTTTTCCTTGTTTACACTTATAGAGAATGTACTCTAATCCAGAATACCAACTAACATTATTTATGTATGAAGTTAACATTTGGATAGGAAGTTTGGTAAATTTTCATGTGCAAATTCAGTTGAATTCAAATGGGATTGAATAATTCCATTCTCAGAATGAAAATAATATTATTTCCCTCACTGAATGCACTGCCCTTTGTCTGTCTAACCAGAATGTACCAAAGTTTAGAGCCTAAGCCAGCTGCCTCACATCTAACAACCAACCACTCTTTCTGTACAGTCCACCTCACTTTTAAATATGAATGTTTATCAGCACTCCTCTCTTAAAATAAAATGTCATCTCTCTATGCAAGCTTTTTCTTCTTCTTTCCATGTCACTTTGATTGTAATGGACAAACAGGTCAGGATAATAAATGAAATTGTGTGTCATGTGACCCTTTTGTGTTGGAACATAACAGATATGCTATCATATGTTAAATTTCCAGCTCTAATGGTTATTTTGTTCCTGTTCTACCATGACATGATATGTAATGTAAAATTGCCTGGATGACATAGGATGATGCTTCTGAATGTGATGAAGACTAGACACATAAACACTTGCACCAAGAAGACACCATGGCTCAAGGAGTATGTTATTGAATTTTGTTGTCTAGAGAAAAGACATCAAAGATCCAGAAAGGAGAGTCACAGTGTCTCTCTCTGTGGCTCAAGGTTTAAGAAGTGTTTGCTGGTATTTCAAGAATGTGGGTTTAGTCTCTTTCCAAGCTATAAAGGCCTTGAAGCATCCTTGTTTCCTGAATCAACCTTAAGTAATGCATCCTCAGCAATACAGACAAATTATACAATAATATATATATAATTAATGCAATATATGTTAATGCAATATATATATATAT